GCTCCAGTGAGCCGGATTGACTCAGGGAAATGCGTGAACAGTTTTCCAGCTGGCTTGAAGTGAAATGTCGCTAACACCAGTTGCTCAGAAAGCCAAGGGCTATGATTGATGCTCTTGCCACATCAGAGAACAAGCCCTTGGTGCTCTGGGTTGCTCCTTTTGCATTGAGCTGCACTGTCCAATACGTTAGCCTCAGCCATACGTGACATTTAAATTTTATATTATTATTATTATTATTTTTTGAGACAAGAGTCTCACTTTGTTGCCCAGGCTAGAGTGAGTGCCATGGCGTCAGGCTAGCTCACAGCAACTCCAACTCCTGGGCTCAAGCAATCCTTCTGTCTCAGCTCCCGAGTAGCTGGGACTACAGGCATGCGCCACCATGCCGGCTCATTTTTCTATATTATTCGTGCCAATTAATTTCTTTCTATTTATAGTAGAGATGGGTCTTGCCCTTGCTCAAGGCGGGTTTTCGAACTCTGACCTCGAGCAGTCTGCCCGCTCAGCCATGAGTGCTAGGATTACAGGCGTGAGCCGCCACACCCGCCTGACTAATTAAATTAAATATAAGTAAATTAAGTTTAATTAAATTAAAAATATAGTTCCTCAGTCTCACTGCCACATTTCAAGTGCCCAGTAGCCATATGTGGCCTATGGCTACCGTAATGGAACTGTGCAGAGGACATTTCCATCAGTGCAGGAAGTTCTCTTGGACAGCACCAGCATGAAGCATCCCACCACCAGTTCAGAGGTCCTCAAACTACGACCCGCGGACCACATGCGGCCTGCCGAGGACATTTATCCGGCCCACCGGGTGTTTTTGCCGCCACTGCCTGTCCTGCTTAGTAGCCGACTCATCCCAGGCCATAGTGCGCATGTGTGGAATGAAGGCTGCACTCTCCAACGGCCTCCACGGTCTGCGGGACAGTGAACTGGCCCGCCTGTTTAAAAGTTTGAAGAAGCCGGGCGCGGTGGCTCACGCCTGTAATCCTAGCACTCTGGGAGCCGAGCGGGTGGATTGCTCCAAGCTCAGGAGTTTGAAACCAGCCTGAGCAAGAGCGAGACCCCGTCTCTACTAAAAATAGAAAAGAAATTATATCGGCCAACTAAATATGTAGAAAAAATTAATGGGCATGGTGGCACATGCCTGTAGTCCAGCTACTCAGGAGGCTGAGGCAGGAGGATCGCTTGAGCCCAGGAGATTGAGTTGCTGTGAGCTAGGCTGATGCGCACTGCACTCACCTAGCCTGGGCAACAAAGTGAGACTCTGTCTCAAAAATAAAATAAAAATAAAAAAAAATAAAAAGTTGAGGATCCCTGCATGTGCATTGCTTTGCTCCGATGCCCAGGCATGGTGAGCAATCAATAATATACTTTTATGTTAATAATTTAGTTAAAAGAAAATGCACATTTTTTGTGCCATTACTTTATGCATAAGGCCTTTCCTTGATTATCCTATAAGCTGCTATTTTGCTCATTTAAAGATGAGTTCTTGGCCGGGCGTGGTGGCTCACGCCTGTAATCCTAGCACTCTGGGAGGCCGAGGCAGGGCGATTGCTCAAGGTCGGGAGTTCAAAACCAGCCTGAGCGAGACTCCGTCTCTACCATAAAAATAGAAAGAAATTAATTGGCCAACTAATTATATATATATATATATAATATATAAATCAGCCGGCATGGTGGCTTGTGCCTGTAGTCCCAGCTACTCGGGAGGCTGAGGCAGGAGGATCGCTTGAGCCCAGGAGTTTGAGGTTGCTGTGAGCTAGGCTGACGCCACGGCACTCACTTTAGCCTAGGCAAGAAAGCGAGACTCTGTCTCAAAAAAAAAAAAAAAAAGATGAGGTTCTTGAGAACCAAAATGATGAAGTAACTTATCCTTGCTAAATGGCTAGTATGTAAGGAACAGGGCCCTTGCTCCCAGTCTTTGGATGCCAAGTGCCCCGCTGGTTTCACCACCTGCTGTGACCACCAGGCATTTTTTTTTTTTTTTTTTTTAGCCATGGCATCAGCCTAGCTCACAGCAACTTCAGTCTCCTGGGCTCAAGCCATCCTGCTGCTGCCTCAGCCTCCTGAGTAGCTGGGACTACAGGCATGCGCCACCATGCCTGGCTAATTTTTGTATATATAGTTTTAGTTGGTCAATTAATTTCTTTCTATTTGTTAGTACGAGAAGGGGTCTCACTCTTGCTCAGGCTGGTTTCGAACTCCTGACCTTGAGCAATCCGCCTGCCTCGGCCTCCCAGAGTGCTAGGATTACAGGCGTGAGCCACCACACGCAGCCTGACCACGGGGCATTTTATTGCCTGTCAAGTGGTGAAGGCATTTTGACCCAGAAATAAGTTCTCCTTCTATATCCAACTCGTGACGAATGTTTCAGAATTGTAAAAATGAAAGTCATTTATTCTCAAGGGAAGCTGGTGTTCTATTGAACTAATTTATGCTTTCTGATTCTATTTCTAGCTTGAGCAATTTCGGACCCTGCTTTTCACTTCTGAGGGGGAGAAAGAGAAAAGAATGGTGGACAACTTCCGCCCCCTTCAGCCCCTGATGAATCGCACCGTCCGCTCATCTTTCCGTCACGATTATGTGCTGAATATACAAACGAAACCCAAGCCTGCAACCAGCCAAGCGATCCCCTAAAACATTCATATCTAGGCAGTATTTTGCTTTAATACATATTAGCTTTTTAAAAAATTTAACTAGACTATTCTAAATGCCTGCATTCAGTAATATTTATAGATGTGCATTTCTTGGTATGGGAGTGCTTCAGCAGTCTTTACAGAGAGCTATTTTACAAATAAATTCTTACTTTGGTTGATAATGATGTTTATCACTGAAGTACTAGCAAGAGACACAAGTTTCTCTTATTGCAGCCTGTTAGTAATTTTAATGTCTTTTCATGTCTGACATTTTTGAGCTATCTTTTTATGTTTATATCAATTAGCAGTTCTATAGGGTTATAAGGAAGGATTATAAACAAAATGTTTAGCAAACACTGACAATCCAGAACTCAGGGCTTTCAGAAACTGCCACAGGGTCCAGACTGGTACTTCCTGACTGAACATAGGCATATTTTGAAATAAAATAAGTACATTTTATTTCAAAATATGACTGTGTATTCTTTTATAAAGGCTTCTCAATGAGTATGTTTGCCCCAGTCTTTAGTTGTCATTACTAGTATATGATATGCTTACTTGCTATCAATTTGTGATATAGAAAATATATTTTATAGTCATAAGAAAACAAAGATTTTTACTATATCTGGAAATCCTTTTGCATTTCTGAAGATCAAATATTTTACTTAATGGTTTGATCATATAGAAAGCGTATGCAGAACATTTTAAGGAAAATGTTTAAACCGCCTAGAACTTAGAATTCATTCATATTCTTTAAGAAATATTTTTCCAAGGACTAGTAATCTAATAGTCTATAGTGTATAGTATTATTTTGCATTATTTGTATACCATTATATATAATAAAATGATAACATTTTCTACACTGATAGAGCTATTTTGGCTTACCTTTACAACTGTCTGAACTTTATTTACTCATTAGTCAAGGTTTTTTGCAAGACAGGTGGTCAACTTAAATCTCCCAATTTATTCAGTGGTATAGAAGACATTTGTTATGGTAATAGGGAGATAAACTTGTCAGATAAGGTAAAATCTAAACTCTAGGTAATTCTACATATTCTGCAGAATCTGTGCCACTGTTGCTCTTGCTTTTAAATATCTTGGAGCGTATCCAAATGCCTCTAAGCCTATGTTCAAACTCAATGTTGCATCAATAACTGGTAGTATTTCTTTCATTAATATACTAGTCATCTGGTCTTCAAGATAGTGTTGAATGAATATACTTAACACTACTGAATGTGCATTTAAAGATAGTTAAGATGGAAATGAGACTACTTCAAACTTAAAAACTTCTGTATATCAAAGGAAGCAATTAACAAAGTAAAAAGGCAATCTATAGAATGGGAAAAAATACTCATAAATTGCATATCTGATAATGGGTTCATATCCAGAATATATAAGGACATTTTATAACTCAACAACAACAAAAAACAAATAACCTGATTTAAAAATGAGCAAGGATTTGCATAGACATTTCGCAAAAGAAGATATACAAATGACCAATAAGAACATGAAAAGATGCTCAACCGTCATTAATTATTAGGGAAAGGAAAATCAAAACCACAATGCGATATCACCTCACACACATCATGATGGCCACTATCAGAAGTACAAACAATAACAAGACTTGGGGAGGGTGTAGATGAGTCAGAACCCTTGTGTACTCTTGGTAAAAATGTAAAATAATGGAGTTGTTATGGAAAATGGTACAGAGCTTCCTTGAAAAACTGCAAACAATTACCATATGATCCAGCAATCTAACTTCTGGGTATATATCCAGAAGAATTCAAAGCAGGATCTTGAAGAGATATTTGCACATCTATGTTGATAGCAGCATTATTTGGAATAGTCAGGAGGTAGAAGCAACCCAAATGTCCATCAACAGATGAATAGATAAAGAAAATGTGGTATATGCATACGATGGAATATATACAGCATTAAAAAAGAAGGAAATCCTGTCAAATGTACAATGTGGATGAACCTTGACATTATGCTAAGCAAAATAAGCCAGTCACAAAAGAACAAATACTGTATGATTCCTCTCGTGTGAAGTATCTAAAGTAGTAAAAATAATAGAACAGAAAGTAGAAAGGTAGTTGCCAATGACTGGAGGGAGGTGGGGGGAAGTTTTGTTTAGTGGATACAGGGTTTCAATGTGTTGCAAGATGAAAAAATTCTAGAGATCTGTTGCACAACAGTGGGAATATACTTAATATTACTGAACAATTAAAGTACAATTAAAATGGTTGAGATGGTAAATTTTATATGTGTATTTTACCACAGTTGAGAGCAAAAAATTAATTCAGTAGGAAAAAAAAGATGGAGTTGTACGCATAAGTTCAGGAAATATCTGTTTTCTGAAGATGGTGGGGGGAGGGGAGGCTTTTGCATATATGCCCTAGGAAAAGCATAAAATTCTTAAAAAGATAAACATGGCAAAAAAAAAAAGTCTGTTAACCTTCTGCAATTCACCCATTTCAAACTACAGTTAACCTTTTTTTTTTTGAGACAGAGTCTCGCTTTGTTGCCCAGGCTAGAGTGAGTGCCGTGGCGTCAGCCTAGCTCACAGCAACCTCAAACTCCTGGACTCAAGCAATCCTGCTGCCTCAGCCTCCTGAGTAGCTGGGACTACAGGCATGTGCCACCATACCCGGATAAGTTTTTCTATTTATATTAGTTGGCCAATTAACCTCTTTCTATTTATAGTAGAGATGGGGGTCTCACTCTTGCTCGGGCTGGTTTCGAACTCCTGAGCTCGAGCAATCCGCCCACCTCGGCCTCCCAGAATGCTAGGATTACAGGTGTGAGCCACCTCGCCTGGCCAAACTACAGTTACCTTTAAAAGGGTGAACACATGAGCTATTTCTTTTCTAGGGTACACAGGCTTTCCTTCTAGCCTTGCAAGCTTGCAAACTTCCAGCCTTGCAAACTTTCAGGGCAAAACTCTATTGCAGTAAGTCCTCCAAATTGAAGGGAGTAATAATATACAGAATGCCTGACTTGCCCTCATCCTTAGAGACACCAAGGATGTATTTACAGTATAGGGTGACTGTGTGTCTTGGTTTGCCACTCCTGATTTACTTACACCTGGTGTTCTGGTGTAATTATTAAGAGCACTCTGTTTTGCTCTTAGCCTTGTCCTGGTTTGCATGATAAATTCTTGGTCACCTTCCCTGCAAAGGTTTTGGAAACTGCCTTAGTCATATGACCATAAAAAGGGCACTGTAGATTCCCTGGCTACTGATACGCCTTTCTTTTTTTTTTTTTTTTTTTTTGAGACAGAGTCTCGCTTTGTTGCCCAGGCTAGAGTGAGTGCCGTGGCGTCAGCCTAGCTCACAGCAACCTCAAACTCCTGGACTCAAGCAATCCTGCTGCCTCAGCCTCCCGAGTAGCTGGGACTACAGGCATGTGCCACCATGCCCGGCTAATTTTTTCTATATATCAGTTGGCCAATTAATTTCTTTCTATTTATAGTAGAGACAGGGTCTCACTCTTGCTCAGGCTGGTTTCGAACTCCTGACCTCGAGCAATCCACCCGCCTCGGCCTCCCAGAGTGCTAGGATTACAGGCGTGAGCCGCCGCGCCCGGCCCGATACTGATATGCCTTAACAAGAATTTTTTGTTGTTGTTTTCTATGCCCTCAAAAGTGTTTTACTTGTACTTTCCTAGACATGAAAGTGGAAAATGGGCCTACGGTCTGTCAAAGATCTTGGGGAAGAAGTCTGTAGTAAAATTGATGCTCGTCTTCATTAAATAATAGTAGACCAATGAAACTCTTTATGTGCAATATTAATGGTTGCTGAAAGACTTTCCTTCCTCTTGTTTTGCTATATAAGATGTCTGTAAAATTAGACATTCTTTAACATACAGATCATAAAGCATCTAGAAAACTAAGGGATTTACTAGAGATGCGGTAGTGGAAGAAGCAGCCAATCCTCTTCAGCTCACCTCTGGTCACACTGATATCACCATGTAGGGCAAGCCGCAAGCCCCTTTTTCTTTTCCCAGGGCTACATGGTATGAAGCAGGTTCGCTGGGCACTGGCTACCCACTTGTCTGAGTCTAGCAAGACAGAACACACCCACACCCAAAAAGTTACACGAAGCAGGTTTATTACTTGCAGACAGGCAGCAAGGGAAAAAAGAAGGGAAGGATTCATTGTGCTGGAAGCCCAACACTCAAGAAAGCTGCCTGGGGGGGGTAGATGGAGTCTCGACTGCTCGTGCTCCACTTGCACTACAGCTGAGGAAACACAGAAGTTGTATACCTCAGTGGCCACACATAACTCACTAGGCAAAGCTTTGAAGGACATCCTGCTTCCAGGGGAGAGAGGAACAAAGCCTGGGCTGTGCTAGGCAGTTCTTCCCTAACTCAAAGATCTTACATTACCTAGAAGGGACAGGAACAAGGCCCGGGCTTTCAAGCAGTTCCTCCTATCGCAGGATATTGCATTCCCAATAGAGTCAGCAGTTAAGAATGACAAGCAAGAAAGGGAGAGAGAACTGGATTGGTCCAAGGCCACCTGGAGAACTGTCTTGCACGTGGGTTAGGGTAAAGTTGGCTGCTTTAAAACCAGGCATCCACCCAAAAAAGTCTAGGAAGATGTCTTTCTCTATTAAATTAAAATGATGGTAATTATAGTTTGGAAGTGGAATTGGCTTTTCGAGTTACTTCTGTAATGACATTAACTTAAGCAATTCAAGCCTGTTCCTGAAAATGAATTCAGTGGTTAATTGTTGAAAATAAATGTCTAACTCCTATAAAAGAAAATTTACATACACTTCTGACTCATAATAAAACAAAATCTACATCTGTATCTTTTTTATAATTAGCAGTATCTTCCTAGAAGATATTCTTACTCATTGTTCTGAAGTGAAAGTCTGGTCTGATTCATAAGAAATGTTATAGCAACCCAAACACTGATGCTTTCAGAATGGCAGCAATTCTTAGCATAAGTTCTGATTATAGGGACCAGCAAAATTGATGACTTGCATAGCAACCACATTCTGTGCCACCTAGTACATCCTCTGGTTTTGGGGGTACAACTGCCAAATCTCTGTCTTCAAAGAGTTTAAGATTTAGTGCAAGAAGCAAACAGGCGAAGGCACAAAGTGCAGTATACGGTGATAGGTGTTACAAAAGGTAAAATACTTGTGCCGGGAGCACATGCAGTACCTAACCCAGTGTTGAGGGGGTCTGGAAGTTTTCTCACCAATGATGATGATGATAGTGATGATGATATAACAGCTAAAGTTTTGGGGACACTCAGTATTGCCAGACACTGTGCTAACATATAGCATGGGTTATCTTATTCAGTATTCACAATAAAAGCCTAATAAGGGCCGGGTGTGGTGGCTTACGCCTGTAATCCTAATACTCTGGGAGGCCGAGGCAGGCGGATTGTTCGAGGTCAGGAGTTCGAAACCAGCCAGAGCGAGACCCCCGTCTCTACCAAAAATAGAAAGAAATTAATTGACCAACTAAAAACATATATACAAAAAATTAGCCAGGCATGGTGATGCATGTGGTGCATGCCTGTAGTCCCAGCTACTTGGGAGACTGAGGCAGTAGGATCGCTGAGCCCAGGAGATTGAGGTTGCTCTGAGCCAGGCTGACGCCACGGCATTCACTCTAGCCTGGGCAAGAAAGTGAGTCTCTGTCTAAAAAAAAAAAAACCTAATAAGATGGAAACTATTACTACTATCTTGATTTTTACAAATGAGAAAACTGAGGACATGAAGGAATTTACTCAAGATCAGAGAGTCAACTGATGCACTGAACTGGAAATGGTCAACATGGAGGTGAAGGGAAACGTGTTGCTGCAAGTGTTTCAGTAAGAGGCAGTAGGGCAAGGATTTATGCAGGGTTTGGGCTTCAGCTGAATGATTCTGATGAGGGATTAGAGGAAGCAGGGGAAGTTTAGTAATTGGGTATCTCAGCAATTTTAATTTGGAGAAGAAAGGAACAAAGGGAGGCCAGGGAAGTTACTAAGTCACTCAAAAGATAGAGGCTGTTAGTCATTTTGCAGCTGTAATGTGTCCTCAAAAGAAACATTTTTTTCTTGGCCTTGTTCCTGGCCTTGTATGAGTATATCACAGTCTTATTATTAGCAGGGATGATTTTTACTTTCTCAATCCCTATTGTCATTGCCCCAGCCTAATCCTCATCACCTCTCACCTAGATTGTTGTGATATTTCAGCTTTATCTTTTAATCCTTTATATTGCAAACCAGAGTAATTTACCTAAAACAAAAATATGACTGCAACAAGCCTCTATTTGAAGGCTTTCAATGGTTCACCATTGCCTACAGAACGTAACTGTAGCGTCTTAGCATGGTGTAATGTACCAAGCCCTCCTCCATAACGTAACCCCCGCAGTCCGCTGCTACCACTGTATTCCGTGATACTCGAGTTACACTTTAAATTCGATCGCCAAAATTCTTGCTGTTCCAGGCGCATTCCAATTTCATCTCTCAGTGCCTTTGCTTATGCTGATATGCCTGTAATCCCATTCCCACCTTTCTCCCTCCAGGGAAATGTCATCTCCCTTCAAAACTCAACTCAAAGCCGGGCGCGGTGGCTCACGCCTGTAATCCTAGCACTCTGGGAGGCCGAGGTGGGTGGATTGCTCGAGGTCAGGAGTTCGACACCAGCCTGAGCTAGAGCGAGATCCCATCTCTACTATAAATAGAAAGAAATTAATTGGCCAACTAATATATATAGAAAAAATTAGCCGGGCATGGTGGCGCATTCCTGTAGTCCCAGCTACTCGAGAGGCTGGGGCAGAAAAGGATTGCTTGAGGCCAGGAGATTGAGGTTGCTGTGAGCTAGGCTGACCCCACGGCACTCACTCTAACCTGAGCGACAAACAGAGACTCTGTCTCAAAAAAAACCCACAAAACTCAACTCAAGCAACAGAAAGCTCTCTCTGAATACCGAGCTGGACTATGTTAAGGAAACTTTATCTTTCCCTGCACCATTATTATCTTATTTATGGATTGGTCCTTCTCTGCCTCTCGATTGTAAAGTCCTCAGGGGCAGATGACACACCTTTACAGTCCCAGGAGTTAGGATCCCTTAGGGAGCCCAGACAGCTGAGACTGGCAGGGGGCGGAGTCTAGAGCTTTGTCTGGGGCGCTGATAGGTGGAGCCGCGGAAGGAGGCGGAGCCTGGAGAAATTGGTAGGGCGGCGAGACGCGCAGCTGTGTGTCATTAGCTTTCATGAGTGGATGAGAAAAAGGGAGAGAGGTGGGACTTTAACCTCCTAGCCACAAGACGTCCCACTACGGCGTGGGGAGAGATAGTGATAAAGCACTGGGGAAGCGCTGCGGCGAGAATTCTTACTCTCAGAGCGGGGCAAGAGCCACCAAAGGATTTTTCAGGAAGGAGACATTTATTTGAGCGTGGCTTTGGAAGACTAGTTTGTCAAAGGAGACCTCCCGCCTTCTATTTTTGGGCCGACCCGGGTGGGGCCCGCAGGACACTTGCGCCTGCGCGCGCCCGCCTTTTCCGGCCGGATCTCGGGGGGTGGAGCAGCGCTGCCGAGATGGCGGCGCCCGAGAAAGCGCTGTTTCGCGAGAAACCGAGGTAAGCTCCCCTGGAGGAGATGGGCAGGCGAGAAGAGGGGACGGAGCAGGCCGAGCCTGGGCATGGAGCATGTGCAGGCAGGAAGGGAAGGGAAAAGGAAACCTGGGCCAAGCAAGTGAGCCACCGCGGCAGCTCGAGCCCTTCCCGGTGCGTGCTCCCAGACTGTCACCGGCGTCTGTGGACTAAGGGAGGCAAGGAGAGGAACAGGTGGCCGATGAGGAATACCTGCAGTCTGGGCGTAGAAAGATGAGGCCATGGTAGATGCATGCTTTGTATTTAAGGCAAGGGAAGCAAGGTATCTCTCCCGAGCACGTAAGCGACTTCCTGCACTGGGCGCTGAGGAGCGGGGAGCTCGGGCAGCGCTGCAGGTGGAGCTGCTGACGCCGGTGTGTATATGTCTTAATCTTCCAGCCACAAAAAGTTCCGGGCCGCCCTAAAGAAGGAGAAACGAAAGAAGCGTCGGCAGGAACTCGCTCGATTGAGAGACTCAGGTAATGGACTACTCATCTTGTTTTCTGTGTATGCAATTGCTCCCTCCACTCCCGCGCTAACTTGAGGCCCCACTGCCTGGAGGAAGTTAAGTACTGTATGGGATGAATTGCTGTGGCTGCTGCCTCCCGAATAAAGTTATGTCAGATCGATGTCAGAAACAATATTAAAAATTGAGGAAGGGAAAAGTCCTGGTGAATTATGTGTAAGTATGTATAAAGAAAGTATCTGCTATTACAGGTGCAAGCATCATGCATTACAGCAGCTAGCGCAGTCTTTGCAAACATAGTAAGTATTCCATGAATATTTTCTTTGTAAAACTAGCAGGAGTCACAGGTTTTAATTAGATGTTGTGGCAGTTTTTCTCAAACTTGAGTAATATAAGAGACCCTTTGTTGACTCTTCTTCATGCTAAGGTGGAGAAGGAAGTGGAGGGGTTGGTCTTGTCTTAGGAGGTGGCAGAGGCCCAAGGAGGTGGAAGGGGAGGCAGAAGAGGCAGGAACATTTCGCATAACTTTATGGAAATATGTTGTAATTTGTCTGACTTTTTTGCTTTTTCATTTCTCTAAAAAGGTTTCTATACAATACCAATCACTCCACCATTTGCTTTAGTTTCAGTGTTTCAATTTTCTGTTTAGAAGGGTCCATGTTGTAAAAGGAGTAAAATGCAGTCCTGAATAATTGGAACCCTTCTACCAGATTAGCTAATGTCAGTTTGTTTTCTGGCACTACTACTTCTGCATCTTCCTTCTCATCGTCTGGCACTGGTTCTAAAGCACATATTTCCATCAAGCTGTCCTCTGTTAATTCCTCTGATGTGGTGTCGGTTAGCTCTTGAATTTTTCCAAGATCCATATGTTGAAACCCCTCACCCCCTACCTTTTTTGCCATATCTACAATCTCGTTCATGATTTTCTTGACTGGGTCTGTTGTAAATTCTGTGCAGTTATGCACAACATCTGCACGCAATTTTCTCCAGCAGGAATTTTGGTGGCTTTCATGGCTTTTTCTGTAACAGTGATGACATCCAGACTTTCATGATCCCCTATCAATGTTCTCTTCTATAGCGTAGACAATCCTTTCTATAGAGTATCATGCATGTGTAAAAGGTCCTGAAAGGTCCTTATTGACCCCTTGATCTAGAAGCTGAATTAGAGATGTTGTGTTTGGGGGCAAGTGGACCACTTTGATGCTTTTAGTGTTGAACTCATGGGGTTCTGGATGGCCAGGGGCATTGTGCAATATCAAAAGAACTTTAAAGGCCCAGCAGGGTGGCTCACGCCTGTAATCCTGGCACTCTGGGAGGCCGAGGCAGGCGGATTGCTGGAGGTCAGGAGTTTGAAACCAGCCTGGGCAAGAGTGAGACCCCGTCCCTACTATAAATAGAAAGAAATTAATTGGCCAACTAATATATATAGAAAAAATTAGCTGGGCATGGTCCCAGCTACTCGGGAGGCTGAGGCAGCAGGATTGCTTGAGGCCAGGAGATTGAGGTTGCTGTGAGCTCAGCTGACGCCACAGCACTCACTCTAGCCTAGGCAACAAAGCGAGACTCTGTCTCAAAAAAAAAAAAAAAAGAACTTTAAAAGGCAGTCCCTTATTGGCAAAGTACTTCTTGACTTCGGGGACAAAGCATCAATAGAACCAATCCAGAAAAAGAGTTTTCATTGTGCAGGCCTTCTTGTTGTACAACCAAAAGACTGGCAGCTGGTGTTTCTTTTCCCTTTAAGGCTTGGGGTTAGCAGCTTTATAGATAAGGGCAGTCCTGATCATAAACCCAACTTCATTTGCACAAAGCAATAGAGTTAGCCTGTCCCTTCCTGCCTTAAATCTTGGTGCTCACTTTTCTTTCTTACTACTGAATGTCCTTTGTGGCAGAATTTTCCAGAATAGGACAATTTTGTCCAGAGACCTGGTCAGGCAGATATCCTTTCTTCTCAGTGATTTTCTTAGTAGCATCTGGGAACTCATCTCCTGCCTCTTGGTCAACAGAAGCTGCTTCTCCTGTTATATTGACATTTTTTAAGCCAAACCTCTTTCTAAAATTATCAAATCATTCTTTGCTGGCATTAAATTCTCCAGCTTTAGATCCTTCATCTTCCTTTTGTTTTACATTGTCATATAATGATTTCACTTTTTCTCGACTCAGCAGAGTCTATAGATGTGCTTTCTTATAGCGATCTTGCAGCGACATAAAAGCTGCATTTTCAATATGAGATAAAAAAGGTGCTTTGCAAATAGTGCAAGGTTTTCACACCTGCAGGAGTAGCTGCAGTAACTTCATAAGTTTCCTGTTTTTTTTTTTAAACAACGGTCCTTACACTGGATTTGTTTATCTTGAAATGGCAGGCACCTGCAGCAGCAGACCTCAATCTATGGTACATATCAAACGATTCAACTTTTTCTTGTAGTATCATGACTTTGCTTCTTGCGAGCACTTCCAACATCACTAGAGGCACTTCGTATAGGTCCCATGGTGTTGTTCAGCGTTTACAGTATCACACTAAATACAATGCAGAATACTCCAGAGATCACTTTTTACTGCAATACACAATTTACTGGAAAGGCAAACTGCTCCCATGCAGTTCAGGTGACATTTTAAGCAGATACAACATTTGAACTCACCGCAGTAGCAGCAAGAGGTGGCTATGAGACTATTGCAATACGTACAGTATGTACTATAGTTAATTTTATGCAGTTTTGATTTAATACTGCATGTTTACATTTGTTTACATTTCCCTTGACTGTGAATGCCACCATGTCCAGTCTACAAAGTGTAATTAACATTTTAACTTCTTATAATAGATTTGTATATATTTGATGGTAGCAAATGATAAAATAGACTATTATCTACATATATTTTGTACATTCATGACATACCTAACTTTTTCTTAATGTTTTCAATACTCCTAGGCTGCAAGGTTCATCTGTGAGTTTTTTCAAATTGTCACAAATCTCCGAAACTTTTCCAGTATATTTATTGGAAAAAATCCACATAGACCCATGTGGTTCAAACCTGTGTTGCACAGGGGTCAACTGTATTGTATTTGTAAATATCACTGTGTCTGTGCCATGTCTAATCTATGGTATAACTGTAAGTCAGTCATATCCTCTGTTCTAGGTTTAATTGCCCTTTATGTATATTAGATCATTTATCTGAATAATTAGATATTATTTTATATGACTTTGAACTTATCCTAAATTTTTGCCTATTTTAACTTCAGGTGTTGAAATAATAAAGTTTACTTACTTAAGAAAAGTAAATTATTATAATTATCTAGGACTAGATGAGCCTTTGGTTAGTGCTCTACTCAATATATGTGACAAACACAAATCTTTTTCCTTTAAGCCTGAGATCTTCTATTATATCTCCTTGGGATCGCTTCAGTTGTCCCCCATTTATTTCACTTCCACTTGCACTACTTTTCCCCCCTCAAATTTAAATTTTAAATAGGATATAATATAAATATCTAGTCTATTAAAAGTTATTTTACCATGTTTTTATTTTGAAAATGTTCCAATCTACATAAAGTTGGAAAAAACAGTACTATAAGTCCAGGCACGATGGCTCACACCTATTATCCTAGCATTTTGGGAGGCTGAGGCAGGAGGATCGCTTGAGGCCAGGAGTTGGAGAGCAGCCTGGACAACATAGCAAGACCCCATCTCTACAAAAAAATTGAACAATTATCCTGTGTAGCCCGCCATCACAGAAAAAAAAAGAAGAAAAATCATCCAGCCATGGTGGTGTGTGCCTGTAGTCCCAGTTACTTGGGAGGCTGAGGCGGGAGGATTGCTTGAACCTAGGAGTTTGAGGTCACAGTGAGCTATGATGAGCCACTATACTCTAGCTCAGGCAACAGAGCAAGACCCTGTCTCCAAATTAAAAAAAAAGTACAATAAATATCCACGAACCCTTCAGCTTGATTTATAGATTTGCCAGTTGCCAACGTTTGAAATTACTTTCTTTCTCTCTTTATGTAAAAAGATATATACATACAAAATTTTTTCTGAACCCTTTGCATATCAGTTGCAGATATCACAGCACCTCACCCCTAAATCCTTCAGCCTGTAACTCCTAATAAGGAAGTTCTCCCGCAGAACCACAATACCAAACTTGCACCTGAGTAAACAAATAGTAATTCAGTGGTATGATATACAGGCTGTATTTAAACTTCCCCAAACCAGGATTGTTTTAAAAAGCTCAAGCCAGTTATCATGTGGAATGCCCTGCATTCTGGATTAGTCTATCGTCTCATGATTAGTTTCAGATGACACTTTCTATGAGAAAAGATTACAGAATTGCATACATCACAAGACCTATCCTGTCAGGTTGTTCCACTCCTAATGATGCTAAGTGTGATTAAAGTGTTACTCATTAGATTGTTCCATTGTAAAGGTACATTTTTCCCCATTTGTGATTAGTCCTCATCTGGGGAGTGATATTTTGAAATAGTGTAAATGTCCTCTTCCCAACAAGCTTTTATCCAGTACTTTTAACATCTTTGTCTAAGTTTTTACAATGAGGGGTTACAAAAGTGATGATTTTTCTACAATAAGTCTTTCTACATTTTTAAGTTACCATGCTTCTGTAAAGATAGATGTTCCTTCCCACACCTCCACCACCTCTTTGTGTATCTTTGAAATCATGGATTAATTTTTTAGTTTAATATGTTGTCCATACCATTATTGTTCTTTTTGATGCTTGCATTGTACCAAATAAGGGTGGATAGAGCCCTTAATATTAGAAAGTTTTAGAAATGGGTTTTTAACCATAATTGTAAAGATTAGAGATTGTATGTATTTTTTTCCTGAATTTTTGACCAAGGATTTGCAATACTCAGATAGTTTAATAACCATCTTAATTTCCTCAGGACTCTCACAGAAGGAGGAGGAGGAGGACGCTTTCATTGAAGAACAACAACTGGAAGAAGAGAAATTGTTGGAGAGAGAGAGGTCAGTGCTAAGTGAGACACTTAAAGTGAATGAAGTTATTTTGGAATATTGTCAACCTTTATTAACTAGTATGGGTTTTCTGTATAAAATCTTGTACAAAATAAGTCTTATAAAATACCATGTATAAACTACTTAAATCACTAGCTGATGGGCTAAAACTAGGTGTTATCATTTTTTTAATGGAAATATTCTTCACTGTTCTTGCTAATTTGTAAACATTTTTGAAAAGAAAAAACCAAATAATTAACAAGTATAAAAAGCAAAAGGGCTGTAATAAATGCAACATACCCAAAGATAGCCACTCTTTTTTTTTTTTTTTTTTTTTGAGGCAGAGTCTCACTTTGTTGCCCAGGTTAGAGTGAGTGCCATGGCGTCAGCCTAGCTCACAGCAACCTCAAATTCCTGGGCTCGAGCAATCCTGCTGCCTCAGCCTCCCAAGTAGCTGGGACTACAGGCATGCGCCACCATGCCCGGCTAGTTTTTTCTATATGTATTAGTTGGCCAATTTCTTTCTATTTATAGTAGAGACAGGTCTCGCTCTTGCTCAGGTTGATTTCGAACTCCTGAATTCAAACGATCCACCCGCCTCGGCCTCCCAGAGTGCTAGGATTACAGGCGTGAGCCACCGCGCCCGGCTAAGATAGCCACTCTTAATAAAGAAGGAAAGTGTAAATGTACATGTGTATTTCTATAATGGGATGATATTTATACATATGTTTCTATAAATGGCTTTCTTGCTAAATATATAGTACATATATCTCACTGTTGATGCTAAAATCTAATTCAACCATTTTAACGGCAGCACAGTATCCACTATATGGATCTAGCATAATTCTTTATTCATCATTCATTCATAATTTATTCTCTGCTGATGGACCTTTGAGTTATAATGGTTTTTTACTTTTATATAAGAAGTTGCAGTGAACATCCATGCTTATCTATCCTTGATAATTGTCCTATTATTTCCTTAGGAAAATGACTAGAAGTGAAATTGGTGAGATCAAAGGATAAGTCCATGTAAAATGTTGATGGCCACATAGAAAGGGCATCCCAGTTTACAGTTTGTAGCCCTTATTGCAGTGAATAAAGATGCCTCTCCCTGTACCTTCACTCACACTAGGCATTATCAAGTTTTGAAACTCATATAGTGAAAAGCTATATTTCATTGTTTCAAGCATACATTTCTGAGCTAGTAAGGTTTCTGAACTAGTAAGGTTGTCTTTTGATGTGTTTTATTACCTATTTATAGATTGCTTAAGTCTTATACCTTTCTCTTTTTGGATACATGTTTTTTTTTTTTTTTTTTTTAGCTTTATTTTCCTTCATTCAGCAGGTTAGGTGTTTAGAGGCAACTGTGTGGAGTAGTACTCCAAAGGTTTACAGCAGAAGATGCTGGGTTTTCAGAGTGCTACTGTCATAGAATTGCCACTTTTAAATGCATAGAATAGGAAGGGTAATGCTTTCTGAGTGTGAAAAGTTAGATGTTGCTTTGAAACTTGCTACCCCCTTTTTGCTCAGGCTGGTTTTGAACTCCTGACCTCGAGCAATCCGCCCGCCTCGGCCTCCCAGAGTGCTAGGATTACAGGCGTGAGCCACCGCGCCCAGCCTGGATACATGTTTTTTAATTTGTTTTGTAAGCAATTTTATTACTTGATTAAGGGTGTTAATTCTTTATCTGTCATATATGTGATGCACACTTTTCATATTTGTCATTCATCCTAACTTGGCTTACAGCATTGTTTACTGTGATTTGATTTTTGTGATATCTTTTTTCATGATATCTGGCCTTGGTGTCTGACTGAGAAGGTCTCCCTTATCCCCAAATGAGGAAAATATTCTGCTGTTTTTTCTGCTAATATTTTTTCAGGGGGTAGTTTCTTTCTTTCTTTCTCTTTTTTATGTGCTGCATACCAATGTGAATATATTTAATGCCACTCAACTATACACTTAAAAATGGTAAAACTAGTAAATTTTATGCTATGTCTATTTTACCATAATTAAACAAAATTTTTTAAAAAGGAGAAAAAACTTTATGGACATTCTCTAGCTGTTTAGTATGTTCACTGGAAATGTTGCTTCTTTTCTTGTAATTGATTCTTGTTATATACTTAAGCACATAAATAGGTAGAATTATCAAAATGCCAAAAAAATTAAAAGAGCAGTAGTGATTGAGAATATATAATTGGATTCAGCTAGACCTGAGATCCAGACCTGGCTCTGCTACTTACTAGCTGTGTTCAAGTTTCCTAATCTCTCTAAGTTTCAATTTCCTTGTCTTTAAAGTGGAGGTAATATCAATCATAGTGTCTACCTCATAGAATTGTGGAGATTAAATGAGGTGATATATGTATAGTACTTAAAACAGTGTCAGCAGATAGGAGGTGCTATAATAACTCTAATTATTATAAATTTCTGTTAGGATGCAGATGATATATATGGTATGAAATAGGGGAGTAATGTTTCTTTTCCCGTTTATTTGAAATGCTTGTTTTGAATCACATACATGTATCTTTGTGTATTTTTATCTTTATTTTATATTACTATGAGTTGCATACTGCTTTATTAAAAAATAGGAAAATTAGTTATGTGAATATACTGCATGACTTTATGTCCTATTTTAAAACAGATGTACAGTACATTCAAGTTACTAACTTTTTTTTTTTTTTTTTTGAGACAGAGTCTCGCTTTGTTGTCCAGGCTAGAGTGAGTGCCGTGGCGTCAGCCTAGCTCACAGCAACCTCAAACTCCTGGGCTCAAGCAATCCTGCTGCCTCAGCCTCCCGAGTAGCTGGGACTACAGGCATGAGCCACCATGCCCGGCTAATTTTTTCTATATATATCAGTTGGCCAATTAATTTATTTCTATTTATAGTAGAGACGGGGTCTCGCTCTTGCTCAGGCTGGTTTCGAACTCCTGACCTCAAGCAATCCGCCCCCCTCGGCCTCCCAAGAGCTAGGATTACAGGCGTGAGCCACCACGCCTGGCCAAGTTACTAACTTTTAAAGTTCATAGCATTTTACTTTTTTGTGGTCTTAAATTATATATCATTTGGTTCAGTTATATACAAGTAACATGTTCCTCAAATGATTTGTAAATCAGAGTTCTGAACACTGAAACATCTATATAGTACCCTCAAACATGCATAGGAACATTGACATATGTAATATATCAGCCTCAACCATGGCTAAAAGATGTGTTCCTGGAATTTGGAGTTGGAAATGTAATATATTTTTCTGTAGAATATTTAAAATTATGGTTAGGTCCCCAGGCTAGACATAAAACCTTATTTAACTCCTGATGTTACTGAAGTAATATAGAATAATTTCTCATATTTCATTTTCCTTTACAAATTCAATGGAAAAAATGAAATCTAAGTTCTAAGTACTTGATTGGCAAATAAACTTGGGAAATCTGACCCCCCTTTAAATTAGAAACTTGTTATGTTGGTCGTCTGAGGCACTTGCCACTTTAAGGTAACATCACTCTTTATAATTGGTCAATTTAAAAAATAGACTAGATGCTTGCTAATTTATTTATTTTTATTTTTATTTTTGAGACAGAGTCTCGCTTTGTTGCCCAGGCTAGAGTGAGTGCCGTGGCGTCAGCCTAGCTCACAGCAACCTCAAACTCCTGGGCTCAAGCGATCCTCCTGCCTCAGCCTCCCGAGTAGCTGGGACTACAGGCATGCTGGGCCACCATGCCCGGCTAATTTTTTCTATAAATATTCGTTGGCCAATTAATTTCTTTCTATTTATAGTAGAGACGGGCTCTTGCTCAGGCTGGTTTCGAACTCCTCACCTCGAGCAATCCGCCCACCTCGGCCTCCCAGAGTGCTAGGATTGCAGGTGTGAGCCCCCGCGCCCGGCCGCTAATTTATTTTTATAACTTTATCTTTTCTTAAAACCTGTAGCTTTCTTCATTCCTCTGGAGTGTTCAGAATTTAAACAAAACAAAACAAAACAAAACCCTATAGCTTCCTTTATTTTAAAGACATAATGACAATGTAGCTTTATTTTCCTTCATTCAGCAGGTTAGGTGTTTAGAGGCAACTGTGTGGAGTAGTACTCCAAAGGTTTACAGCAGAAGATGCTGGGTTTTCAGAGTGCTACTGTCATAGAATTGCCACTTTTAAATGCATAGAATAGGAAGGGTAATGCTTTCTGAGTGTGAAAAGTTAGATGTTGCTTTGAAACTTGCTACCCCCTTTATTGGCACCGAAAATCACTGTAATCAGCCTAAAAGGAATGTCATAGCGTCCTTTTTTTTTTTGTAAAAGATGTCACAGCCATACACACCTATGAAATGTAAAAGTAGGGATTTTAAGTTATTACCATTTGGGAAGATAGTTGCTGACAGTTAGTGCTTTTCTAGAAGCTCTACTCTTCTTGTTCTCTTACCCACACTTGGCTACTTTATCCTTCATGGTATTTTAATCAGTCCCAAAACATGTCGTTTTGCTACCATATGTGTATGGATGTATTTGTAAATTAATGCCCATTTCTTTTATTTGATTGTATCATTATATTGATAGGCAAAAGTTGCATGAGGAGTGGTTGCTGAGGGAGGAGAAGGCACAAGAAGAATTCAGAATAAAGAAGGAAAAGGAAGAGGCAAGTAGGAAACGGCAGGAAGAGCAAGAGGTACAGTATTAATCACATAACCAGTGAACCAATTAATTAGTTACCGAAAATAACCCTCATTAAGAGTTCCTTATCTGGAACTAAAAAAAAAACCCTGTTATTCATTTTACCAAAGTTTTTAAAGTTTTTTTTTTTTT